GGCCATTATAAAGAAAAGAGTCAAGATTAAATATATAGAGTAGTCAGAGTTTAGAGGAGACCATTATGAAGAAAAAAGTCATAATCGAATATTTAGGATGGACAATATCCAGAGGAATCACTAGGATTGAATATTTAGAGTGACCAATATCCTTGAAGCCCACTAGGATTGATTTTATAAGGCGACCATGTATTCAATATATTGGCCCCAAAGAAATCAAAGATAACATACTTGCCTCCCCCCCTTTTTTTTTTAAAAAAAAAAAATGCGCGTTATATTTATTGACAACTGTCAAATTTTATTTTTACCCTTTTTTTTTTCTTATATTTATATTTCTATTACAAATTAATGGCATCCATTATGATAAAAGAAGAGATATCAGAACAATGCAAAGCCTATGAAAGATTTGCAAATGAACAATGGTTAGGGGAGCCCTTCCCGATAATGAAGGATAGGCTTGTAAAATATATCAAAGTTAGATCACGATACAGTACTTGCTTGGACTATATCATTCATTTAGAGAGACATCCTTTGCATGGACCAAGATGGTTTCAAGAAATGAATCATGATCCTGATATACAAACTATCATGAAACTTGTCTCTGACCTGTGGGATTTCCCCTCCATAAAGATTAAAACACCTATTATTGGTTTACTCAAAGTCCCTATCATAGAAAATAAGCAAGTATATGATTCAAAAGTAAAAGTGATAGAGAAGCCTGGAGGTCAAAAAGGTATTTTATTTTATTTTATTGCATGCATAGAACAAGAAAGAAAGAATTCGATCAAATATATATGTATTGCATATATTATTATAGGATATATGGTACCTGATGAAAAGGAGGAAGAAAGAGCAGCTATTTCGGAAACTGGCCTGATCACTTTATCATTTGAAAACAAGGAAACTAAAAAGGAATCAAAATATGTTGAATTGAATAAGAGACGATCAAAGCAGGACCTAAGAGAACTGATAGCCCATTTTAAGATAATGGGAACAGGAAAGAATAAAGTGTATAAAGAATCTAGTGACCTTATTTCATCATCACAAGAGACTAAAGCAGTTATAAAAATCCATAACAAGGGTAAGAAAGCAGATTATGGTGCAGTAATAGATCCTAGTTGTCTATTAAATGAAGAAGAACACCCATATTCTATTCAAGGAAGGCATTTCACTATACAAGATAAAGAAGAACCTACTGTTGATGAACGCTTTCTTCCAATTAAATTAAAATTACAAGAGAATCGAAAGACAACAATAAAAAAATCGAATAAGAATAAACACTTGCGATCAGAAAGATTCAGGCACGAAGAAGAAGAAGAAAGGACATTAGATATAAGCTGTTATATAAAGGCTTGGATGGAATTCAATAGTAAACTGCTTGAGAGTAGACTCAAACATGTTAAAAGCAAAAGCAAAAAAGATGAGAGATTAAATAGGGGGTATTAAGCCATGCATGCATAGCTTTTTTTTTTTTTTCATACAGAATTAGTTTTGCTTAATAACAAACAGGCTTACAATTGACATTGTTTCTATTAAAACAAAAGAAAAATATACATTTTTCTTTTTATTATTATTACTTCTTCTTCTTATTTACAAATAATATATATATAAAGATATAAAAATATTTAACATATAATATTTAAATGGCTTGCAATTAAAATGAAGAGCTAAGCCAGTTGACTTCTTCAATTATACGTGTGGGGATCGTTTTTGGATTCATTAACAAGATATGATAATCTTTAATTGCTTCATGAGCTGGAAGGTGCAGCTTTTCTGGTATCTATTAAAGTTTAGAAATAAATACCAAGTACTAAGTAAAATATTTTTTTTTCTTAATTACCCTTGATATATCTTCTAATAACTGAGGTGATGGGAAAAAAGTAAAAACAAAAGGTATACAAATTTCTGGTTCTATTGCTTGTAATTTATCTGTTAAATCTTTCATACGTTGTCTACATTTCTCCCAATATTCCTCTCTAAAATTAATAATAAAAGGTTAAAAATAAAACGTATAATAATATGTGTATATATTTTTAACATTTTACTTTTGCTCTTCAGTTATGTTGGTAGTATATTCAGGTAATGAGAAGATAACACCTCCTGTTTGACTCACCCACTGTGATGGTAAGTCTGTCTCAGGTGTAATCATACGACTGGTTATATCAAATCCAGCATAACGTTCTACTCGTCTTGAAAACTCTCATCTAATCCAAACTTGTGTTTGAACCAATTAGATGATTCTAATTCTTGATCTTCTGTGTGTATTAACAGTTGATACATGGGCTTTTCTGTAGTAGGATTTTGGTTTTGTTGAGCTACAATCTTGTCTCTCACACGGGGTATATATTTAATGCAAAGTTTTCTGTTTTCCATACAAGATCATGTTGTTCTTCATGATTACTCTATTTCACAATAAGTAAATAAATAAAAAAAAATTAACTTACATATATGTTTGTTTTACCTTAAGATTATATTCATCTAAAACACGTTTCTCCGCTTCTAAACTCTGTTTGGCACGTCTATGGACTCCTTCACCTGAAAAATGCTCAGGTAATGGTTTCAACACATTGGCCATAATAGAATATGGATTGCAAAAGGACAAGACACGATCAAATCGCCACTTTTTGACTTTAGCAACTGCTGCTTGGGTTCGCTTTTCAATTCGACCACGAGCACGTTGAATCCATGGAACTGTACGTTGCTTGATAGTTTGATTCGCTTTCAAGACCTTTCTAACGCGTTCTTTAGCTGTTTTCTCTACAAAGGTATCGATTAAATCATTTAAATAGCGACGGCTGATTTGTGAGATAATGACTTGCTTTCTCATCTCTTCAATCTTTTGTTCTTCAAGTCGTTGAGCTTCAAAACGTGCTTGTTCTTCCAATCTGGCTTGTTTCTTCTAATCGTGCTTGTTCTTCAAGGGCTCTCTGTCGACGCGCTTCTTCTTCAGCTAATTGTCTTTCTGCTCTTTTACGCTCTTCTTCTTTTGTAATTCTTCTTGTTGTTGTTTTTTCACTCGTATTTGCTCTTCTCGTTTCTTGGCAAGTTGTATCAAGAGTTCTCTTTCTTTAGCTGCTGCTGCTGCTGCTGCTGCTGCTCTTTCCCGAATATCAGCAAGTTGGTCTTTTGTATATATCTGTCCTTCTATATAGTCTACCGCTGAATTTTTAGAGGCAAGTATAGGTGGTATAATAGGTAACACGACTGAATGCTTATGAGGCTTATCAATAGGTGCACTCACGGGTGGAATAAGAGGGTGGCTGCTAGATGAGCTAACAGGCAAAGTAATAGGTACATTATAAGGTAATTTAATAGACATAGGGGGATTATCTTCAAGCATTTCATCATCATCATCTTCAACATTATCATAAACACTGTTATCATCATCATCGCTGAACATAAAGGTATCTTCATGTTCAGCATAGATAATTTCATTAAAACTTTTGGTTCCCTTTTTAGGTTCAACTAAAAGCTTAGATTTCCTTTGGGGAGGATTTGATAATGGTTCTAAAAAAGAAAGGTATTATTAGTTGAATTCATCTATCTATCTATATCAATATATATATATATATATATATGTGTATATGTATCTACCTATGAATACGGGAACCTTGGCGGTATAATGTCTTTGTCCAAACATAATAGTAGGTTCACCATATGACATATCCATAACTAGACCATATAGCTTGGCTTCATGTAACAATTGCTCTAAAGTATCATATGCTAATACGCCGCGGATGTAGTCTGCATTTACACCACCTGCTTTAAACATATAGGATGCATTCATTGCCTTTAAAGCACCTTTACGGATTTCTGAAAAATGAGTCTCTAACATACAAGCCATCAAGAACGGCGTACTAGGATCAGCTACCATTTTAAAAAATCGAGAATAAAAATTGGCACTAGCAGGAACATTTTCTGGTTTATTACGACGTGATGAAGTCTCCAGGATTTCATTATTACGTTGCACTAGAGCATAAAATTCAAGGGCTCGTTTCATATAGGGATGATCAAAGATATATAATGGGAGGGTTTGTACTTGTCGGGCCATGTCTTGATCACGAATATGGCTTAGGAGATGATAGGCACGAAACTCTGCTTCATTTTCTGTTTCAATACCTTCTTCACGAAGATCGTCATAGAATTCCATCAAACTGATTAAAACTATAGTCATATATATGTATATATGTATTTTTATATTAAAAAAAAAAGTGTGTATGAGAGAGAGGTAAATAAACAGATAAGCTTTCATATCAGACAGAATTTTGTTTTACCTTTTCGTAATTGCTCAGTTTCTTGTTGGGCACTAAATTTAGCTTCATCATATTCACACATTTCATGTAAACATAAGATATGAAAACGTGCAATTTTTTCATGCACTTCCACAGCTGTTTTATCTCGAATATTTTGTAAAGTAAAATCTTGACGAATTGATCTTGTTCTATCACGTACAAATGCATGACATGATTCAAGTGGATAATTAGACACAATACTATTGATTAAGTAATCAAGCGTAGACTTATATATGTATATAAATATACATATATGTTAAAAAAAAAAGACAAAGACTAGTTTAATAATTAAACTTGACTATAGTAACTCACCACAAGACATTCTGGTGTTCGAACATCTGAGGGTAATGGTTGTTCATTACCAGCTGCAGATCTTCTATAAGCTTTAACAATTTTGTTAGGATCAGGCTTCCCTTGTTCATTCATCTCCAAGGTATCAATATTCTTTTGTATTTCACGTTCAACCATTTCAAATTCAGGACACATAGTTGTACAAGTACCAACAAAATCAATAGCATCTTGTAAACGCATAGGTTTATCTGGATCTGGAATCAAACCTTCTTCAATAGCGCGTTTTCTTTCCTGTACTCTTCTATTCTTATACTAACAAAAAAGAGATAGTTGGAATTAGCTAAAGTAAAATAAGATAAAAAAAAATATTGATTTTTCTCTCCCACTAGGCTCCTTATTCGACGTTTGTATCACTGGATATTTTATGTTAAGAGGATAAAAAAAAATAGTATTGGAAGGGAGGGAGGAGAGAGGAGGATTACTAACATTGCGATAGATAGCCATTTGAGAATTATTATTTCCAAATCGTTCAGCACGATCAGCTACTGTTGTTATACGATGACTATTATTATTTGCGACTGCTTCTTCCATGGTATCATTGCATAGGATTAAAGCGTTGTTGTCTTTTTACAATTTCAGGCAAGATTTTGCTTGAAGAAGAGCTTTCTTCTTGTACATCAGAAAGTTTTTGTTTACGACGTGGACCTAGTCTTCCTGTTGTTTGTTTAGTCACTTCTGAAACTTGTCTTAAAAGGCTAATTGGTTTCTTTTCATTCTTATTTACTATTGATTTTTGAATTCGATTATTGATAGATTTATTTGTTAAATAGATGCATTTGGATGTTGCTTACGTTGATTGCGATTAAAAGTTGATATCTTCCCTCTTCCTGATTGCTGAGAAGGTCTACTACCAAAATATTCATAAAATGAGTTTGTTGCGTTAATTTGTTGTTGAGTTGGTGCAGAATGTTGCTGTTGCTGCTGCTGCTGATGTTGTTGTTGTTGATGTTGTTGTTGTTGTTGCTGCTGCTGCTGTTGAAGGTAATCAGCAAATACTGAACGATGAGTTGGTGTAGGAATATTGGTTCTTCCTGAAAAGACCGATTGGTTTTGGTTAAACATAATAAAATAGAATGTGGTAAATGTTAATTCAAATAGATTATTTAAATGTTTAACAATATGTTAAAATAAAAAGAAAGAAAGGAAGAAAAAAAAAAAAAAGGTATCTTTGTGACGCGCATGTTATTTAAATAATAAATTATGGAATAAATAAGGAGTAGAATACCAATCAAAAACGACTTTTAGATGTTAACAAATTAAATAAACAAAGGAAACCAGTATTAAATAAGGAGAAGATAAATATTCTCACAGAGACACTTGAACCTTATCAAATAATTAAGAGTTATCCATTTGCCTGACTTTTGAAAAAGAGTAATAATTATTATATGCTTGAGGATTCTAGATACGCTTGAAGTCCTTTATTAAAAGGAAAAAAAAAAAGGCTATATTCAAGTATTATGATTTTATTGTACTAGTCAAGATGCTGTTATTATGTTTATAATTAACGCAAACCTGATGACCGTTTATTTACTTGATATTTCCGAAATTCACCGATAATTGACATAAATATGAATACACAAAGATGACGAATATCGTTCCATAAAGATATCTATCGCCTTTTTCGTTATCATCTAATACGATATTTACAGCAAGATTGTTTAAATGACATGTGATTTAAAGGGGAAGGGAATATCCACTTTTTTTTTTTTTTTTGCTGAGTTATTAAACTGTTAAAGCTTATTTCCTATAATACATAACACACCAACTGTTTGCATCTAATTAAAGCATAATAATAATAAAAAAAAAGAAAGAAAGTAATCTTACGCGGCTGGAGTAGCTTATGTTTGCAATCAAAATCTTATTAGCTATTCGACAAGAAATGCGAACTATTCTACGCGCCAAATTATAACACAAAAGCCATTTTGGAATAGTTTTCAAATATTTTAATGATAAAGTCTCTTGAGACAGACTGTATAAATATAAATTGTCTTTTATAATGAATAAGTCTTCTTGTAAACATTAAGTTTATATGTATATATATTAAATAAATTAGAGTTTTTAGCTGTAAGGAATTATGAATACAGCTTTCAATTAAAAGAAGGCATAATATTACATATTTAAGCGATTTTCTTTTATTATATAAATGTATATTCATGAAAAAAGTAAAGTCTTGTAAGAAGATAAAGACTTATTTATATTTGCTGATATTGTTAGAACGAAAAATATGAAACCATCGACGAAGTTCATCATCTGGTAGACAGCCCTTTACTTGGTTTAGGGCATAACAAAGGATTTGAATGTTATTGATACTCCAGTTTCTTCCAGCTTTGGGATCTGTTGCTATTGGTATAATATGATCAAGGTAACTGCCCAAAGGGATAGTAATCACGCTTTAAATATTTTCTAACATCGTCAACATGATTCAAATGATTTTTATAATTGTCTATTGCGCCAGGTATATAACAACCTAATCCTGATACTGCACATTTACAATTAGAACGCGCATATAGGTTAAACAAGTCCTTTCCTGTTGCTACGGCATTTTTGGGTCCAGCAATGTATTGGCATCGCTGTTTCATAAGTAGTGCTCTACGATTAAATAACTTGATTACATTATCTGGATAAGCAACTGGTACAGAAAACTTGTCAATATCTCCTGTGATGAACCATTTTATCATGATTTCAAACTCTTCATTAGAAAAGACTGTGTTGCGAAGTCTATATAAATGTATATATGTTTATATGTATATACATATTAGATAATAATAGCTCTTTTAGTATCTTATCTCATTGGTTGGCTTTACATATAGCGTGTTGTTTTACCTGGTACATCCAAGACAATATAATGGTGCATTAGGCTTATAAATGGGGAATGCAGAGCAAGATAAAGGGTATTTACCAATCTTGTTATTTAAATACATTTTAACTCCACATAATAAACACTCGAGCTAAAAATAATTAAATGTACTTTAAATCTCTCTATAAATAATACCAGTTATACATGTATGTATATGTATATATATTACCTCTGGTGAAATTGAATAAGATCTTGTCTGTTTGTTTTTTAATAGTCTACTGTTACCACTGTTTATTACTGGCTGTGGTATATTTTTATCATCATCATCATCATCAATTATAACATATATTGGAGAGGAAGATTCATGATTGTTATCATGGACTCCATTTACGTCAATATTTTGATTAGATAAAACTTGGCTGTTATTCTTTACAGCAATATCAGTAGCTACGCTCTCCAATAATTTTTTAAATATTTCATTAAACTCATTAGTTCCTTGTCTTTGTTTTTCAATAGGTAAAGCTCTAATCTCATCAGCTATAGTTTGCAAATGTAATTGCGCTTCTTCATTATAAGCAATGTCAGCCAATAATCTGCCTATTGCTCCATAATAAAGTTTATTATTTAACAATTGATCTTCGTCAGCTACTGTAATAACAACTACAAGATTGTTAAATACGTCTTGAAAAGAAGGACTAAAGTCAAAGGTTAAATCACAATCGTAATAAACGCTTTCAGAATCACTTGATTCAGAATCAGTTGAAGGAATCATAGTTTTTTTTTTAAAAAATTATGGGAAAAAAAAAAGACAAGATGTACTAAAAAGTGGAAATATGCTCATATATTTATTTGTTTTGAAAAAATAAAAAAGAAAAAAAAAAAGGGAGTAAAATACGATAAATAAAAAAATAAAGTTGTGATCAAACAACATTAATTTTCCTTTGTTTCCTTTGACGAGCACATTAATGTGAAATCATCTTGGTCAAGTCATAAAATCTAAAAACTCTTTTAAGGTACAAAAGATACATATATAAAAAAAAAAGAAGGGGAAGATTCGTCTTTTAACATCGATGTGATGAAATAATTTTATTTTATTTTTACAAATAAGGTTAGTTGCTTTTTTTTTCTTTTTTTTTTTACTGCTTGCTTTCAATAACGAAGAGTTGAAATACAACAAGTAAAGATATTAATATAATAGTCAATAAGACTAAATGCTAGTTCTAGTTATCAATCAATAAAACACATTTAATATACAAACAAATAAAAGGATATTCCTGATAGAAAAGTATTAGTTCTGCTAATCCAGTATTGCAACGTGATTTATGGAGGAATATGTATTAGTATAAATGAGTTGAAACTCATTTTTTGATCTTATTTCTCTATATGTTATGTATTTGCCGTTAAATAAAGGGCAATTCACACTAATTCTTTTATTTTCATGATTGTCAAAACTGTATACCGTGTTAGATTTTGACATATCAAGGAGCGATAGAATTGATAGTGGTAAATACACATCTATTCATTATAAGAGTAAATACGGTAGACTAATAGAGAAGCCAGTAAGAATAAGTAAGCGCAATAAGTGAGTTAAAAGTTGTCAATATACGTAAATGTATACATGTATATATATATGGTATACATATTAAAATTTACAAGTAGTTGGCCCGTGCGGATCATTGTTAATGAAATTTACTTATTCAAATAAGAATATTAACATTTATTTCTGTAAATGAAAAAGGAATGCTGAATCTAGTTCTAACAACCATTAATAGTTGCCTATCACTCAAGTTATCAGTGGTAATAAAAGGAAAAAATAAATAAATAAAATAAATAAAAAAAAAATGTTAATTTGCTATCCGCACTACTCATAACGACAACTACTATCATTCGTTGATAATGATGACGTCATTAAAATTAAATAATTTTCAAGTACAAATATCTATCAGAAAATTTATTAAAAAAGTTTTTTTAGAGACAGAGATTGATATTGGCAGTATATTAACCTGCCATGAGGTCGTGTAATCGAAACATGAAACGCGGCATTCAAAAGAGATCTTTGTATTTAGAAAAAAAAAATACTTTCATTTAAAATGATGATAGAAAACCATAACAATAGTAGATAGATAGGGACATTGGCGCAGTACATGTGAAAGTGTACAAATGCCATAAACGGGTTATTATCTGATATATACAAATATATTTATTTCATGATGTATTATTTTTTTTCTTCTTCTTTTGATAATCATTGTAAAATACAAAATTTTATTTATATAATAGTGCTTGTTGCTGTTGTAATGATAATAACAGCAACGGCTGCTACTGCTTACTAATACTGTAATGAATTATTATTGACGCAACAAATGATTTAATATAACATGGAAAGTAATACTTAATTATCATATAGAAAGGAAGAGAAAGAAAAGAAAATAAAAAAAAAAACTGTCAGAACTTGAAGTAGTAACAATGAACCCTTTTTGTTAGATCAAACAACAAAATAGAGGGTTTTTTTTTCTTTGTTTTGTTTTTCTAGAGCTTATTTAAGGGGGGAAGGGAACACAAAACAAAATATTCTTTTTGAATAATATGAATGTTGAATAGGGAATTTCGTTTATTTTTTTCTTCAAAAAATAAAACTTTGCTAATCTGATTGTCATCATTAATTAGATGCTCACAGTCACCTAATCATCACTCTTATACAACATTAATATGCTCTCATCATTTCAACAACAAATTTAATATGCCTATTTATTATATTTATTTATAGCTTATTTCTATTATTAAATTTATCCAGATCCGTTAGCTGTCACTTTCCTGTTTCAGTGATCTACATCTTTTTGACTCACAAAAAAAAAAAAAAAAAAAAAAAAAAAAAAAAATAATGATAATAATCTTCCTGATCATATCGTTTGTAATATGAAGACCTTTATTTGATCAGCCATAGTTTATCTACCTACCTGCCTCATTCACCTTTTTTCTTTTTTTTTAGTACGCTACTCCTCAAGATACCATTTTGTCCTTAAGGAAATTAGTTCCTTTTGTCTTATTGTTTAGACTACAAGTCTATTATATTTATAACATCTAATCTTATCTTATTTAAATACAAAATATCTTTAGTATAACGTTGTTTAAATATTATTCATTGGTTACATCTTTTTCTAAAAAAATTTAGACTATTCTTCTTCTTCTACTTTTTTTTTCTCCTTAAAAAAGAAATAAATTTAAAGACTTCTAGATTTAATAATAATAATTAAAAAAAAAAAAAAATCTTAATCATTTTTTTTATTTCCTTTTTTTTTGTTCTTTTTATTTATTCTTTTGCTGTAGTCATTATGAAATTTGGCAATTATTTGGAAGAAAGAAAGGCTAATCTACCAGCCAAGTACGTTTCACATTGTATCGATTATAGAGCACTTAAACAATTCCTTAAAACAGAAGTGTATGCCCATTCTATCAGACTTAATAACGTTTCTTCTGACGCATGCTCCTTTGCTCAACTCGTTTCAGACCGTCTTTGCGAGCTTCAGAAATGTCAATATGTCTTTATTCAAAAGTTAGATGCCGAAGTTGATAAAATTACCACTTTCTTTGATGTTGAATCGCAACGTTTGGTTGCTCTCTCTCAATCCAATGATAGTCAATCGGACGAAGCTCAATTACTCAAGTCGATCATCACACTTGAACGATTTGTCTTTTTAAACTATACGGGCATTATTAAAATTCTTAAAAAGAACGATCGACACTCTGGACTGTCATTATCAGAACCTTACCTACGTCGCTCTCTGAGAGATCGTTTGTGAGAGCCGATCAGTTAACAAAACTTAAACGCAGTGTCATGAATCGCTTCACAACTGTGGATGTTCCAGCTTATCCACCACTTATGGTTCGTAGTCGATCTAACAATACAGCTGCAACTGCTCTACCACCTGTTATTGCAGGTCCTAATCAACAAGTCCTTGTCTCTCTCTCTGGCCCACATGGTACGGATATTGTAGGTGCCGTCCTTGATTGTCTTGCACGTCACCCCTGTCGTATCGAAGATGTCATGATTTCACGTCTCTATCATAATGTGACCTTTGGTGTCCTTATCACCCTTCAATCCGATTCTATCTCTATCTTTAGAGATTTAGCAGAGGCAGCACAAAAATGGGATGCTATCTTGACTTATGACGTACCTGATTCTCAAACGAGAGAGCCCGTACCTCGCCAACAACAACAACACAACAGCAGCAGGATTCACCTGTAGTCAACTATACAAAGCCTGCATCACTTGAAGAAGCTCCTTATTCAGAGCGTGATAAATATACAGCTACTCTTTTGAATCAAAATGGTCTTGTTCCAGAATTCTTGAGTCAATGGACTCGTCTGTTGCTTAAACATCGTATCTCGTCGAAAAGCTCATGCGTCTGAATGAACCTGGTGCTAGTTTATCATGTGCAGATTTTAAATTAAGTGTCCCTCGTGGTTTAAATATGATTGAACTTCGTCGTGAATTATTTGATTTATCCACGAAATGTGGTACGGATATTGCGTTCCAAAAGGATGACATCTATAGGAAAAACAAAAGATTAGTTGTCTTTGATATGGACTCTACATTAATTTATCAAGAAGTGATTGATGAAATTGCAAGATATGCTGGTGTAGTAGATCAAGTATCGGTAAGAATATAAATATATATATGTATATAATAATAGTATTTACATGTATATAATGAAAAAAAAATATATATAAAAAAAAAAAAAAAGGGATATTTATTTAATACATATAAATAGAGTATCACAGAATTGGCTATGAATGGTGAAATTGATTTTAAAGAATCATTACGTCGTCGTGTTGCACTATTAAAGGGTGTTAGTGTAAGCGTATTAGAAAATGTTAGACAAAGTTTGACATTTACAGAAGGGGCCAAATTCTTGTGTCGTGCACTTAAAAAATTAGGATTCAAATTAGCTGTCATTAGTGGTAAATAGCTTAATTTATGCTGCGAAATAATGTAAAAAGTAATTTTTTTTCTTTTTTTGAATAGGTGGGTTTATGCCTTTAGCGCTTTACGTAAAATCAGAGCTTGGGTTAGATTATGCTTTTGCTAATCAGGTAAAATAACAAACAACTCCAATGATAATTTATACAATTTTTTTTTTTTTATAAAATTTAAAAAAAAAATTATTTGTTAATCCATTTTTTTTCTTTGGCAAGTTGGAAGTATCATCTGATGGATTAACATTAACAGGTAAAACGGTAGGACCTATTGTGGATGGTATTCGTAAAGCAGAGCTTTTAGAAGTGATTGCACAAGCAGAGGGACTTTCATTAAAACAAGTCATTGCCGTGGGTGACGGTGCCAATGATCTTTGGATGCTTAATAAAGCCAGTTTAGGTATTGCCTTTAATGCTAAGCCTCGTGTTCAAGAACAAGCGGGTGCACGTATTAATCAACAAAGTCTTAAATACGTGTTGATGTTACTAGGATATACAGAACAGGAGATGAGGGAATTATAGAAGTTTCTAAATAATAATAATAATAATAATAATAATAATAATAATAATAATAATAATAATAATAATAAAATTACATATAAACAAGAAGAACCACTAACCCTAATTTTTTAATTAATTAATTAAAAAAAAAAAAAAAAAGGTGTGTGTGTGTGTGTGTGTGTGCGATTGATTGATAAGTTAAAGTGTTTCATCATGGAACCAGCCTAATTGATGAAACACAGTCGATAATGCACTTGTTTTATTGACATCTACACGGCATAACTTTTGTGCAACTGATTTAGTAAATGGCACATGATGTTCTTTTAATGTCTTTGCAGCCATAACCAATGTGCGTTTGCATCTTATATATTGAATAGGAGTTTAAACGCAATACAGAGGCTATACCTGCTTCAATAGAGTGTAAGACATTAAAGTATGATTGGCAATCAATCTTCAAAGGAGATGCTTTATTATCATATATTTGTATATGAATATGTATATAAATATTAAAGTTATATATTTATACATTTATACCTTTCCAGGTTATTTTGCCAAGATGTGTTTTATTAAGGGAGGCAATGGAAGGTATCCAATCTTTGGGATAAAAGCAAGAATCAGAACTATCAATATCAATTTGATAAAATGCATCCCTTGGTATAATAGAAGAAATCGCGTCTTGCTTTAATATACATCTCTCTCTCTCTCTCTTTTTTTTTTTAAGGTTTACTATTGTCTTTTCTTGCTTTATTATACATCTTTTCTTAGGATTTGGCATTGCTACTTTATCACGTTGCTTTCTTTTTTTTGTTCATAGTAATAGCCTGTTGTTGTTTTTCTTCTTTTCTTTTGATAATGATACTTTCTTATTACCATTACTCATAGTAGTATAACAAAAAAATTTCTTTTCTTGATGATTCATAGCATGGCTTTCAGCTGAAGAAGAAAGTTTTCCATGATTCTCCCCTTTTGTCTGAATGACTGCTGTCTCCTTTAAGAAAGCATCATATACATTTAATTCAAATGATCGCTCACCACGACGTGACTTTTCATTTCTTAAATAAGGAGCCATGCGACAATAGACCTTGATATATTCTTTTCTTTTGTAACAACGAAGAACATGATAAATTGCAGAAGGAGGAAATGTATCATTTTGTGCTTTAATAGAAGATCTTAAGGAATGCTATGATGAAGGCATTTTTATTTTATTTAAAAGAAGTAAAGGGGAGTGGGGAAGAATAGAAAAGAAAATGATCAATGAGTTTGTGACCTTATATTGTCATTGACCATAGAAAATAACAATAACGTAACAGTCAATAAACAAGCTTATTTAAATAAATAAACAAACAAAACAAAAGGATAGAAAACTCTTTTCTTTTTTTTTTTTTTTTTTTTTTTTTTTTTTTTTTTGAAAAAAAGGAACATGTTAATTTGTTCCTGAAATATATTTACAGTAGTTTACAAAGACATTTTTTTTTCAAGGTCGACTCCATGAACGAATCCTTCCTCGTCGATCCGTAGTTAAAATTTCATCCTCAGTAAATATAACATCAACACATGGATCAGGATGAATAGTTTGCTTCACTATTGGCTGTAAAGACGGTACCTGCGTTTTAAACAATAGCGGATGAATAGTAGGCAATCTAGTATGTTGTGTCGTTAAGGGTGTAAATGGAGCAATAACTTCATTACTAGTATTATTACTGCTTCCATTATTATTACTATTACTACTAATACTACTACTACTACTTCCAAAAGAGATGGCCTTTTCCTAGAAAACTTTTTTTGAGGTCTTTCAACTATATTTTCTTCTTTCTAGGGATATGTAATAAAAGTGATGCAGTCATTACAGGCGTAGTTTTAGAATCTTTTCTTATTATCTAGATTTTTTTTTTCAATAGATTAATTTCATTTTATATGTATCACAGTGATTTATTTACCTGTTTGGGTTTATGAAGAGCATTGACTGAAAAGTTCCATAATAAAAGTTTACAATCTTCACCTACACTTGCAAACCTATACTCAGTATCATCACAATATAAAGGGTCAAATGCTACATCTGTCACCTATATTAAATCAAAAAAAAAATTAATCTAAAGTAAAATAAGCTTTATTATTTTAAACTTACCCATGATTTATGACCTTGGCATCTAGCTACAATTCTTTTCTCTTTAAATGACCAAATTGTCACTAAATCATCTTGACCACCTGTCTAATAATTAAAAAATAAATAAATTATACATGTATACATATTCTATTTTATAAGCTTTAATTTACCAAGATATAATGTCCATCGGGGCTCCAAGTTACACATAACAATCCACCAAAATACCCTACAAACACATCACATAGCCTTTAAAAGCATAATATGAGTTAAATGATAATGCAAAATGCAATTGAATATGTTAAATACCATTCATTTATATAGTCAATAACTCTTAATAATCCATCTTTCCCAACTATAGCTAAATGCTGATTTCTGGTGAAAATGAAAAAGCTATTAAGAAAAAAAAAACACGCAAGTGCTCATTTAGTAATTCGACTATTTATTTTATTTTATTTTTTATATATATAATTTACCTACAATCCCTTTCCTGCTTACACGCCAATGGGCTATTGGATTATATTTGTTATTAAATTTATTTGGCTTCGTGATCTGAAAACTATAAAAAGAGCGACAATCTTTTAGTTATTTTTATTTTTTTCCTATTAGATACAATTCATTTTTTTTTTTTTTTTTTTTTTTTTTTTTTTTTTTTTTTTTTTTTTTTTTTTTCAATTCATCTGCCCAGGAACTAGGTTCATTTAACTGAAAACTTTGATCATCTCGGTCCTTTTCTAATATCAAAATAGATCCGTCTTCAAAGGAAGCCATAAAGGTGTCTTCAAAGCCTGGAATCCATTTAATCATCGTCACACTCGAGGCATTCATGATACCCTAATCCCCCCAAAAAAAAGAGGATGTAATAAGATGGTTATTCAACTTGTATTTTTTTTTTCTTTCTTTCCTTCTCTTCTCTTAATCTTTACATTCTTGTTTAGACGTGTATATCTATTACAGTCCGTATCATACCATATAATATCACCAGAAGAAATCCAATCAACACATCAAAAGAATTGACGTCATGACAAGTTGGATAGGCTTTACCAAAACTTAACTACATAACGGATCCTAATATATACATACATACATACATACATTTAAGGTTCTATGATAATCAAGGCTTGCTTGCTTGCTTATTATGATTACCTTCATTGGCTCATTCATATCTATACAGTAAAAGTTTAATCCCAAATTAAAAAATAATTGCTTGTTGTTATATAGAGTCTTTGTCGTGTTTGCTACGTTTATATTATAGGAATCAAAAATGACGATTTTAATTTTAACAAGTTATTTTTAGGTCGTTTATTAGTAGTGTGATGATGGTATCGGTTAAAGAAAGAGGATAATAGGATAGCAGATGATTCTGGGTCGTCGCTTTCATTTGATAATGATGATGAATGTTCCTTGTTAGGTGACAGATAAAGATTGCTTAGTAGGGAAATATGTGTACCTGTCATAAACTGGGGCGGTGTATCGAAGAAAATATCGCAGACGAGTCTATAAGCACCCTCTGGCGTATTAATTTGTTTACAATGACAATTCTCATTCGTAGGTGGACAAGGCTTAAGTAACTAGGTTTGTCAAACGTACTGTGACGTCGACTCGATGACAGAGGTGGATTATAGTACATGCATAAAATTGTTTGAATTATATTCTAAAGAGGAATATCTATAACTAAATATAGGCTTGCTTAAAAGGAAGACTATACATTTACAAAAAAGAAGAGAAGAGAAGGAAAAGAAAAAAAAAATTATTATTATTCTTTATTTTCTGTGACTATTTAGAAAAAAAGAAAAAATAATAAATATAATAAAAAAAAAAAAAAAATGAAATAAAAATAAATAAATTTTGCATAAACCATTTTATTGCTGCGTTTAATACATTCTAAGGTTAATTACATTATGGTTACAACAAGTATAATTTAAGTGTAACGACAACTATATTATTCTTCACGTCACAAGAATAATATAATAATATTTATAAAGCCTTTTTTTTTTTTTACTCATCTTCTCTACCCCTCCCCCTTTTTTTTTAACTTAATAAATAATGTCTTCCTGGTGTAAAGTATTTTAATTTACGGTTATAATTTCAATTTTTATAAATTTAATATTTCTTTAAACGTTAGTTTCGCAACTTTCAAGTACTGTTTCAAATGTAACTGGCTTTGGTTCGGCAGTGGATGGTCTACGAACCGTAGCAGATACAATTAAAGATGGTGAAGCTTTTACTCCTCTTAATGAACATGATCTTGAATGGACTTTAGCGTCAGGTTCATCTACTGAAAATCAAGTTTTTTATATAACTACAAGACAGGTGGATTTGCTTTTGTTCAACTGATTCATTCTAATATTGGGTAATCATCATCATCATCATCTTTATATACATATTTATTTATTTTTTGGTTTTTTTTCTTCTTTCTTTCTATAGTTTATGGAATCCTACTATTTCTTTACTTGCCGCTTTTATGATCCACCCACGAATACCAGTATTTTTAAAAATATTAATATGAGCAGCAAATTTGAACTTTCATCCAACAAACGCTCTGTAAAACCGACTTCTTTTCTATCACGCTTGATGAGAAACAAGAGTGTTTCAAAATCAACATTACTCCCCTGAATTAGTTGTCTCATTCGACTTTAAACGTATCGATAAAGGGTTTAAAGTAGTGAGGGTAAGACTTACTTGGGCAAGGATGCAGGCTTTGTCTCACACAAATTTTGGCCTCGTGCGCATGCACAGGGGACCTTCATCATTAACCAAACCATTTATGAATTGGAAGGTGATGGTATGTTCGTTCATGCAATCCAGGGTATGCAACCCCAATTGATTGCTTCCACCTGGAACTTTGCCAACTTTCATTCTGATCAGGCATCTCTAGGTATGATGCAATTTCAGACTACAAAGCAATATGGATCCGTTCATGTCAACCAGGCTCGTTGGTATTGGATAACAAGCTCATCATGGTCTCTGTTGAAAATACGTCGACTTATTAGAAATGAAAAAGGATGAAGATACTCAATATGATATTCCTCAAAGGGTGAAACTGTCTTGGAAAGGAAAAACGATCGAAAAGTAAAGAAGATGTGGTCAATAGAGATGGTCGTGGAGGTCAAGAATTTGATCGATAAAATTGATATCTTGGCTGAAATTCCATATGTCATTCGCAAGCTAGTACAAACGTTTTTTAGTGCCATATATTTATCAGTGGCTTGATAAGGCAACAGCTTAATATCAAGATTGGTGATAAAGTAATTAATACAGAAGGATATTGCTTCCAAGAACTAGTCTTTGTTTCTAATTTTTAGAGTAAAAAAAAGAAAGAACAGAAAACACACACACACACACACATACATATATTATGTAATAATATTCATTTAATGTATTTAGCTTTATCGTATTTGCCATCTAATTTGTATCCTTTAAATTAAATTTGCCGTCCCTTTTTATTTTTAAACCTCAAAAATTAAAGTCATTGACAAATACTTTATGGTAAATGCCAAGCGTAAGCCGTTATTTATTGCAATACCAAAACGATAGGAAAAAGCTGGAATTTCTGTTAATTGAAACAAAAAAATATTATATAATAATAATAATAACTGAGCATAAAGGAAAGAGTAGTTAAAAAAAAAAGAGGTTGAAAATGAGTCTTCGAGACACTGTTTGATAAAGGAAAATGGTTGGCTTGAAGGAGAAGAAAAAAAAAACACATCAGTTTTTTTTTTTTTTTTTTTTTTTTTTTTTTTTTTCCCGTAACTGCAAACTTTTAAAGGTCGAAAGAATGTGGATTGAATCAGATTTATAGCGAAGGCTGTAAATAAATAAATAATTTTCATTATATTTGCCCGACGATTTTTCAATACATTTTTTTTCCTCCTCTCCGTTTTTTAATCATAAATTGCATAGTTTGTTATAATGGCAACAACTATTTTAATGGTAAATCGTGGGCTGACATGTTAGATGACGATGATCCTGACGACCTTCCTTCACCTAGCAATGAACTCTTGAATAACAACTTGTTTTCGATGAGCGACACTAAATCAGCACAAAAAGAAGAGGAGCTGGATTTAATTAGTTCGCCATTAGGTCAAAACGATTTCCATTGAAGAGGATATATAAACAACAACAGGTAGTAGTAGAAGTTAGTGATACTACTACTATTATTTCAGATAAAGAAAAAATATCAGTCACCGAAAATAGTGTTGATGATGAACAAGTTAATGGCATGTCTAATGATGAACAACTTGCTGATGAAACTAAAATTTTTACTCAACAAGGTAATGAAGGAGACTATAAAAACAGATTGTTGAGGGAGAAGGAAAGCCTGCTGATGAGACCGGGAAGGAAACTATAGCGATGATATTAACAAAAAGGTAACACAAAAAATGCACAAACCTGAAAAAATAAAAATAAAAAATAAAATAAAATAAAAAATACAGTAATAGAGAATCAAGATGAGCTTATTAAAAAAATTGATTCCAATTTCAACTAATGATTCTATAGAGGTCAAAGACAATGAAAAAGTACAGCCTGTTGATCAAGTATTGGAAAAAGAAGTTCATCAATCTGTTGGAGAAAACAAAAACGAATCATTTGTGCAAAAGGAGCCTATTGAAGAACAAAATGTAATACAGCCCGAAAGTTCTGTATCAAAAGCACCTATTAAAGAAGTAACTCAGTCAGAACCTCAATCTAAAAACACCGGTAATATCAGTTGGGCTGATCTTATGGACGCCAGTGATGATTCTGAAAATTCATTTATTGAAGATAATTCACTTGTTGAAAAAGAAAATGTTGAATTTGTTGATAAAGAGGCTGATCAGAATAATAAAGCAATCGATGGTTGTCAGAATTTGCTTATATAAACAAGCAGACTGAAAATTTAGTCATCAAAGATGAAGAGGGAGTTTGTAAGCCTGTTAAGGAGGAGGAGGTTGGTATATCTAAATATGCGTCAAGTGGCTGGGGTGACTTTATTAGCACTAGTAAGGACACTGAAGGATGGGCTATAGGAAGTTCACTGTCGGATACTAAGACAATTGAAAACAATTCAAACAATACCTAATGACGCCTCCACTAGCTGGAGTCATTTCGGTCAACAAGAGGATGATAAATATACTTGGGATACTCATGAAACAACTCACACTCGTGTTCGTGCTCGACCCATAATTGCTAAAGAAGTCTTGCAACGACTCAAAAATATGACTACAACTACAACAAAGAGTTGGGAAAAGAAGGTATCCAATAAGCCAAAATCTGTTGAAAATCAGCTTAATACAGTTGACTTTAGTGATACTGCTAAAAGCATTTGGGCTACACCGTCTTATCAAACCCGTAGATACTCTAATAGTCCACACAAGAGCCCAACGATTCCTAACAATGATAAAGATAAAGACAGGGATTCGCATGTCCACACTTTACAAAATACTAAAAAAGATAGTAAGTATCTTCTTAATTACCTAAGTATTTTTTTTTTTTTTTTTTTTTTTTTTTTTTTACTTTCCTTTTATGTCTTTATAGGTGTAATGGTTGGGACATTAAGAACAATAATACTAAATTAAACACAAATGAAAGTAGTGATTCGAATGCTAATAATAAGAATGGTAGTATAAATTAGTATACCTATGAGCAGCATGTGTATTGATATAGTAATTTTAGATGAAAATTCATGGACTTCTAATGATAATTATGTTTTTACAGTAGAAGGTAATAATAATAATAATAATATGTTATTTAAGTATGATGATTATTTATTGTATATAGCTATTACGAAAGAAAACAATACTGCAACAATGAACGCATGGAGCACTGCAGCAGAACAATTTGATAAAGAAGCTTCAGAGCTCGAAAAGAAGATTTCTATGATGAAAGAAAATAACATTCCTTTAGTGACTGTCGAGCAACAAGCTACCGCCATCGATGCATGGAATTCTTCAGCAACTTCATCTACTGTAGAAGAGCCTAAGAAGGAACATGATGAAAGTTGGGACCCAAATGCTTGGCCATCACCTCAGTCCCTGGCTGATCAGTGGGAGGTGATGGATACTACTAAGAACAAACAGTCAAATGTTGTAGAAGATCAAATGGGAAAAAACGAAGTTTCACAAAATCAGTCTACTTGGGATACAAACACTACTTCTTGGAATAATGAACAGACTACTTGGAATACAAACACCACCTCTTGGAATAGTGAGCAGCCTACATGGGATAATCAACAATTTTCTTGGGGAAATGACAAACAAGAAACTCAATGGGGCGCACAACAACAGGACTTTCCAACTACAAGTGAGAGCACAAGTTTGAATGATATACTAAGTAGAGACAATACTATTGCTACGCATAAACCTAATACTAAAGGTAGTAGTAGTTGGAAGGATATATTATCTGTTACGGAGAACGATAACATTGCTGGATGGAATTCATTTGCCAAGCATAATGATGAGGCAGTGCAATCATTCAAGAAGAATGATAAACCAAAAGAGTCTATGATTCAGCAACAAGAATCACAATCACGACAAGTGGAGCCACTCTGGAAGCAATCAAATGCTAATGTTCCTGGATCTACTAATAATGAACATCCATCTGCGGCGATTGAAATGCCAACTATTCGATTAAGTGACTTTTTGACTACTAAAGAGCCTACTACTACTACTACTACTGCTGCTGCTACTGCTGCTCCAATAACCATTGATATGCCAGCTGTTCGCTTGGAGGATATTATTTCTACTCCAAATAACACAGTTGATATGCCAACCATTCGCTTAAGCGACTTTACAAATACTAAACTTCCCCCTACCGCTGAAATTAAACTTAGCCTAGCTGATCTTTCTAAGGAAGACCGTAGCCTTATTTTGAGTTTAGCTGATAATTCACAACAAGAGATTACTCTTCATCTTAGTGATTTCATGAAGGCCAATAAGAATGAAAAGAAATTTAATTTTGTATATACTGGACCCTCTTTAGATCGTGAAGCACCAAAGGAGATCACAATGAGTTTGAATGATTTGATCTCCGGGCATTTTTGAGAAAAATTAAAAAAGAAGTAAATATTAATTTAATAAATATAAAATAATAATTTTGATGTTATATATAATATGGATAGAAGTGGTAGTAATATTTGTAAAGTATCCAAAAAAGAAAAGAAAAATAGCCTTTTTTTTATAGATTGAAATATCTCGATAACTGAGACGATATTGATGCATGATCTTTATTGTACATATAAACTGTATAAATCTATTAGGTAATATAAATTATCACATTAGATAGGCATACATGGCTTAGGGACTTGAAACAAAAAAAGAAAGACACTTTGTATGCATAGACCTATAAAATTTAATGTATACATATATACAGTCAATACGATGGACATTGTCGCCAATTAACAAATAATTGTCGCAAAAGAAATTTCGTTTTAGGAAAAGCGTATTATCGTAATTGTATTAAAATTTCTTTTAGAGGGGTTCTTTATATATACATTTGATAATTTTGTTATAGAACAAGCTCTGGATATAAGCACAAATAATATTATAAAAGATGGATTACATAATACAGGACAAACTATAAACCTGAACATATAATAATAAAAGATAACATATTTTTTGTACACTCTTTGAAACTCTATCTCTTTCTTCTCTTTAAAGCCATTATTCCTTTCAAACTGATCAAACTAAAGAGCCTTGTTATCATGATCATCATAAAAAAGAGCTCAATTACCATAATACAGTAATAAGAAAGCTTACAGCCTAACTATTTAAAATGCATAAACTGCCAAGAATATCTTGTACAATTGAAAATAAAACTGCTGTATAAAATGACATTTTTTATATTATTGATAGCTTATTTATTTACTCTTATTCTTTTTGGAGAATGTATGAATATCATGCTCTGTCGTGTAACTGCAATTTAACTAGTTTTAGCTTAATTATTTTACAAGAATGCTCAACATATTCACATGAATACATATAACAAACTTGTTTTCTTTTTCTTACTTTCTTACTTTCTTGCTTACTTTCAAAGAAGACAGTAATGCTTTACTACATTCAAATAAAAGGCAAAACTTATCTCTAAAGTATTAAAAAGAAAAGAGAAAAAAAAAGAAAAGGAGAAAGGCAGGAGAGAAGATTTAACGCAAAGTAAATTAAAAACAAAAAAAAATACGCTAAGATTAAACTTTAATAACTTCTCCTTCTTTTCGTTTATTTTTTTTCTCCTGAATTTTACTATAAAAAAAAGTACATTTTTTCGTTTTTTTCCTTTTTTTTCTTCTTCTTTTCTTTAGCTTTTTTTTATTTTTCCTATTCTTCTTTATTTTTACTTGAAACTATGGGTAGACATTGTCAGGGTTATGAAGTGTGCTCAAGTCACATAGCTTGGCTTACTTGAGTTTGTAGAACTGTCCGTTTATAACATGGCTAAAGGAGAGGGCCTAGACTCTCTTTTGGTTACTACATGCATATCCGCCTTCACCTTGGGTTATTGCAACCTTAGATAATTGATGGGACCTTATCGAATTTTGACTGCTCAAGTTTGATTTATTTCCAAAGGAGGAGGGAAATAAAAAGGATACTTGGGGTTGGAAATTGTAAACCTGTTCCTTTTTTAGGGAGATTAGCGTACT